TATTTACACGTATCGGCAATGCGAGCTGCCCAGCAACTTCCCTTTCTGACGTCACAAGGGGAATTTCTGTATGGCAATGAATAGCTAATGAGGAGCCTCGTTTTAAAATACAAAAAATAAAGTTGCTGTAGACTGAGTTTAAAACACATTTTTTCACTTAAAAAAAATAATTTATGCTTAGAAACATAAAAATTAATAATATTTATGTATCAATTGATAATTTTAGACGTGAAAATAGCAGCCATTTCACAGGCACTTTATTAAAAGGTATATTAGACGCGGTTGAATGTTTTGCTATAATCTACTGTATTTTACCGTTACTTTACTTATTTGTAGTAGCGCACCACGTGTTCTATGAACATGTGATTTTAATCCAATATTTCATGTTATCTGTACCATACATTCATATCTCGTTCCCATTCATGACTATCTTTTTTGGTGTATATTATATAGTGTTTTTTATACAATTGTATCACCATATTACTAAAAGTAGGAGTAATCTTACCAGCCGTTCAATGTGTTTATTGTGTATAGTGATGTTTTATGTAAATATGTGTGCCTTATATCTACAATTTGATATTCACATATCTTTTTTTCAAAAGTGTACAATTCATTTCGTCATTATTATTTCAGGTGTGTATGTTGCGCGATTCAACAAACCACATATAGATACTGCTAAAGTCACTTATTATTTCAAGGAAGTTATGTGTTTAAATTTGATGCTATTTGGTGTGTGTGTGTTACAGCTTCTGTCACTTGACATGTTCATGGGTGTAAATTTAATGTTCATATTTGTGACAAGTTATGAGCTTGCTATTAATATGACATTGTTGCTTGAAACATATCACTTACTTTTTGTGGTTGTACTATTGCTGTTTCCAGTAATATGTATTAACAATCTGTTTGTGTCATTACTATTCACATTGTATGCAATTCATATTTGTTTGCATGTTCTTAATTTTAAGTATAGACAAATTATAATGTCTGTTTTGCTGAACGATCTTCATCCAAATCTTTTACAATTCTATCATTCTATTGGCTTTAGAGTTTACAAATATGCTATCGAGAATAGAAAATTATTACAACAAAATTTGCATCGAGCATTGACATTCAGTATTAGTGATTTTGCTGGGGATGATATTTTTTATGATACACACCATGTTTTTATTGCGTCGGAGTCAATTTTTCTGGTCGTATTCAATCTGGCGAAGTTCGAGCAAAATGATCAAAGGACATTTGAGCTAAATCGTATTCTATTTTGGCTTCACTCAATCCACGCCCATGCAAAATATCGAGACTTGAGAATATTCCTAGTTGGTACGCACAGAGATAGTGTTGACAAAAAAACAATCGAAGATATCGCCATTTTTCTAAAGAGGAAGTTGTGTCACATGGAATCTGCTTATGCCCAAAGACTAGTCATAAATGAAGATAATACACCACTATTTCGGGTTGAAAATTCCAGACATGGTGATGTAGATCTACATCACCTGCAGTCTGTCATTATCAAAGAGGCTAATGAGATTGGTGTTATGAAGAAAAAATTTCCAATTCGATGGTTACGGTTCCTGGATATGTTAATGGTGGATGAAGGCAACCAACACCCAGCAGTTCACCTTGTTGACACAGGGAGGAGAAAGGAATTTATAATGCCTCTAAAGAAAGCAATACGTTTCGCTCTTAGAAGAAACGTGGTAAAGGACCAAGAAGAGATGATGGAAATGTTGCATTATTTCAACCGAACTGGGGATCTAATTTATGTTCAAAATGACATTGCTCTTCGTCAGTACGTGATTCTGAATCCAGAACTACTAGTAGACGCAGTTAAAACAATTACCAACGTTCCAGAAAGAAAATATTGGAGTCCCATTAATGTCCGATTCTGGGGTCGTTTGGCAGAGGAAGGAATTATTCACATCAGACTTCTGAAAAAGCTCATGAGACCCCTTCCTGCCAACATAGATGCCATCATAAATCTTCTTCAGTGTTATGACTTGATTGTTCCAGTTGGCAGTATAAGTAAATCGGCAGTGGGTATGATGGCTCAGGAATATATGGTTCCGTTGATGAGGCCAACCTACAAAGATTTACCAGAAAATCTTGGGCCAGCTCCTCCTGCCAGAGTAGTCTACTTTGTGTTTGGCTTCTTTCGTCCAGATTGCATTTTCACTCGTCTCATGGCAAAATGCATCCCAATCTCACACAGTTTTAAGGTGTTTCGTAATGTTGGAAGATTCAATGTAGATGAACAGTATGCCTGCAGAGTAGAACTGTTCCTCCATATACCTGAACAGCAAATGATTAAAGTGACAGTTGTAGCTGTTGAGGGTGCTAATCCATACACGTTAATACGAAGATTGTGTAACTACATAGAAGCTATAGTGTGCAGAGATGTTCCTGAATTGAAATATACATATGGTGTGCCATGTACATCCCCAGGTGATATACATGATGGCTGTAGCAATGGTGAGTTGCATATATTACAACTGACCTCCAGAGGAAAGCGATTCCCGGCACTTGGCAGCACTATCACCAGGCACTGCAATGGGGTACAACAAAATATTCTAATTGACAATGTGATACGTGATGGCGAAGTTCAGGTCAGTATTTGAAGGTATATGTGTGGTAAATTTCTAACACAATGCAAACCATAACAAAATATATTGATTATTATAGTATGTACAACTTACATCACTTTTCATTATTGATTCACAAACAAACTCTTACATGGATTTAATCATAATTTGTATATATTGTTAGAAGATATTATGTATGTGATATACAGTTTAACCATTAATTTCACTGCCAATTGTACTGTTCAACAACATGCATTTGTAAGAGCCATACATGCGGAAACTCACCTGGCCCGACACTATGAGGATTGACAGATTGAGGTCTTTAATAAAGTTCTATATTGCTATATTCTTCAGGCTACAAAATTGGACATTCTCCACATGCATACCACCAAAATGAAGAGACAATGGGAAGATGAAGCACATGAAGGTTAGCTGAAATACAATGTGAAGTTAATAAGTTTAGTTTTTTGTTCCTCTGTCAATTTACAATGTGTGCCATATGTTTTCATTAACAGAACTATTGTACGACGTCTACGTCATTTGCGGTAAACGTGACCATGCCTGGGTACAAGATAAACTAAGTCCAATGATAGAAAAGGGTCCGTCACTTTTGGTCTTGAAAGTGAATTGCTTTGACACAGACCGTGATCTACCTTATCTCAAATCAAGCCCAGTTAATATCGCAGTCATCAGCAGACACTCGGTAAATGACCCACGATGTCAAGATGAAATGGATCTGGCATATGCTCACCATGGTAACGACAATGTCATCCACATACTTATAGATGATCACGCTTCTGTTCAAAAACTCAAAGAAACATTGAAACCACCACACCAGTGGATTGACTACACCAGTTATAGGAATAAGCACAGGTTTTACGAGGATTTGCTAGATATAATACAGGACATATACGATCCACCAGAAATACAGAAGGAATAATTATCTAATTAGAAACTTGAATGAAAGATATACCTTCCTCACAATCTTGGTATTGTTTAAAAGTCTTCAACGAATTTGTGATCAGGAAAACCACAGCATCAGCTTTGTTTCTAGATCTTAAAGGGGGATGGTGGTGGTGATGGTTGCGGTGGTGGTGGTGTTCGTCGTCGTCGTCGTCGCGCAGCATGTGTTCGAATTTCAAGTGGCCAGGTTTCTATCAGACTGTATGGCAATAAATTATTGTTGTTACACTTTTAATGTTCCCAACAATTTCAGAATCTTTGCCAACTTGAATGATAAGGAGTGTAGTGTTTCTAAATTGATATATTCTATGCAATTTTGAGTCAATGTTATTTCTGTGCAACTATCATCCACTAGCTCTCATAGTCTGGGAGAAAATGATCACTTTTTAACCCGATCACCCAAAGCAATTGCCTGCTTCTTAAATTTGTATATTTTGCTGATCGGTCACCATTTATTGTATTTTAAGTTTTATGTGTTACATTTCTATACTGTGATTTTAAGTAATGAATTTGATAGAAATTTATATTTTTTAAGTGTTATATTTGTATCCTGTTTATAACTACATGTATGCGTATCACAACCTGCAATGAAATTATGTTAAACCACATAATTCTTATCGATACAACAAATAATAATTTGAATAATTTATTATTATTCTTCAATAAATTGTTAGTCCCTTGTCATGGATCATGACATTTAACTGGACTACTGTAAAATACTTTATTTTAGCTGGAATTAAAATATAGGAAAAAATGTACATTCGCTGGATTTTATTTTCACTGAATCATTCCTTCAGCAAAAACTAGTTGCAAGCAACAATAAAGTATTTTACAGTATATTAAAGTTCAATGTTTTGATAATAGTGGAATGGTCATGGCAACTCATCTATTTTCAACCTTTTCACCGCCAGTTCCCTCTTTTCATTACAAAATGGTCCTGTTAATAGACTGCAATTTTCTTCAGAAGATTGGGACAAAAATAATCAATTTTCTTTAGTAAAAACTGAAAATTTACTCAAATTTTGTCAGTTGACTCCAAAATTAGGGTTCATTTCCAGAAATATTGAAAAATATAAGAAAAAAGTACATAATAATTTAGGCGAGAAAGTCTGGTGGTAAAAAGGATAACATACATTTTTTTTAGCAGAACATGACACATTTTATGTTTTTAGCTTGTTCTGGGAGTGATGCTTCAAATATTTGCAAAGCGAAAATGGAACTTTCTGTAAAACTGAATCAATTGTTTAACATACTTAGTAAAGCTTTAGAATGTTTGTAAACATACGTAAACACCGATCATAAATAATGATTTTCAGCTATTATCATAAACGTATGCAATTTTGTATTACATTATCTTTGCTCATTTGATACCAGAAAAACATTGATATCACAATATATTAATGATGGAAAAAATGCAGAAATAATTTAATCCTTTATGAATTAATTTCAAGTTTTTAATGTGCTTTTATTTAAAATAATAAAATCTGTATACATATACATGATCAGGGATGGTATAATTTAAAATCAAATATATAATTATTCTTTGTTCGTTTCTTCAAACTGTTCATCAAACTGCTCTTTGGAAATCTGTAAACAAAAAACGGTTGAAAAAACCATGGTTAAATTTGTGTGCCAACAAGGTAGGTGTACTGTCGTATCATAAAGTCATACAAGTTGAGGTCCTCCGTCAAGGACTGTAAACCTGACACCAGACAAGACAGTGTAGTTTCTTGTGATGAGATCAATGCAAGCAGTCTTTATGATTGACTTGGTAAAACAGTATTAGAATAGAATAGAATAGAATAGAATAGAATAGAATAGAATAGAATAGAATAGAATAGAATAGAATAGAATAGAATAATGCTTTATTAATACTGTAAAGAAAGAGTTAGGTTTTCAGATTAATAAAGTAAATAATAAAAGTACATGAAATGTAAAAATTTCTCATGACAAAATAAAAATAGTCTTGTTTTTATTTAACTAAATATTTGCAGAGAGTGATAAGATGGTTTGTGTTTGGTGAATGTAGTACAAGTTTAAATTGTTCTTTTTTGTTTAAGTTTTCGTAATCACTGTTAATTTCTTTAAGAATATTATATATGTCATTTCTGTGTTCTGTGTACAGTTTACATTCTAGTAAATGATGTAATTCATCCTCTATTTCTTTACAGTGGGTGCATAATCTGTCTTTTATCAGTGTTTTGGGTTTTGTGTATCTGTTTCTATAGCTAGTTTGTGACTACTTGTTCTAAATTGTGCTAGTATTTTGATGTACCGGTAATGTCTGTTATCTATGTGTTTTATGTAATGTTCCATGTCTAGTGTGGTTTTGTATGTACTGTAAGTGTGCAGTTTTGCGTCGTCTCTTTTATTGTCATTGTTCCATGTGTTAGTGTAATATTCTCTGATTGAAATTATCAGTTCTTGTATTGTTATATTATCTATATTACATTTAGTGTATATTTTTAAGTTGTCTTCTAATGACTTCAACCATGACCCCAGGGTTATGTCACTATTATATGTCATATCACCATGAGAACCAAACAACACAACACAGTTTTAGAAGACCATGTATATAAATTGGACATCGATTTTCCCACAATCCAATGCGCTCTTCTAATGGAAATGAGGTTTGATCTAGGTGCGATAATTGGTTGGTAACGTCTCTGTTTGTACTTGTTGATCTGCGCTACAGTCAAAGTCGCCATCTTTGTTTATATGAGACCCATATATCTAGTGCATGCGTGGCGCGACGACTACCGCCCTTTAACTCCAAAGGTGGTTATCAACCGACTTTGTTTTCTCTTAAAAATTTCTAACTTTTAAACCAAGTATTAATGTCATCAATGATTTCAACTTAATCTTTGTAGTATTTAGCTTAGTTACTAATATTAGACAAATATAGACAAACTACTGTATACAATTTAGATATATGGTGGTTTTTAAAGCAAACTCCAATATAATTTCAATTTAAACTTTTCACCACAAAAATATTTCTGTTTATAGTCTGCACTTTCCTTCAAATAACCAAATTTTTTGAGTAAAAACTGAAAATTGTCTCAATTTTTTTCTGTTGGCTCCAAAATTAGGGTTCATTTCCAGAAATATTGAAGAATATAAGAAAAAATTGCAGAAAATTTTAGGTAAGAAAGTCTGGTGGTGAAAAGGTGCTTAGACCTAACTGTAATGTAAGTACAACTCTGCACTTTTGAAAATTTATCAATTTTTCACCACTTTTTGGTAAAAAATCTGATAAACGCAACAAACATGGGTGTAATTAGCATTACATAACAATGCAGATTTTTATTTTGACCATAGATGCATAGATGTCATTTAAGTAAGCATATGTGCTATAAATAGAGCAAATACTGTATATAAGCATAGGTTTATAGAAGATTAATTCTATGTACCAATATCTCTATCACAGTTGGGACCTGGACTATCATCAGTATTCTAATTAAGACATCACTCTGAGACGTTGATTTAATTCTAAAATAGGCATCATGAACACTTTCAATATTTTGTCGAACACAAATTTTTTGTATTTTAATGTTATAACAAAAGGTTCAATGCCCCACTGCCCAATATTACTGTTGAAAGTATTGTCAGGCTATGCACTATAAGTAAGGCAATGCACTGAAAGAAGGCCTGTGACAATAAAGGAAGGTTCTGCACTATAAAATGGGGTCTTTCACTATAAAAGGAAGGTCATGCAGTATAATTACTCACCTTGCCAGATTTTAGTTTCTTCATTAATCTTATATCTTTTGAGAGATCATTCAAGTCTTCGTCATCAAACTGAAAAGACGTAATGAAAAGATACATCAGTGCGGTTTTAGGCCATTGTACATGATTTTAATATATCCTCTCAAAACCATCACATCCTCTCAGTCTTTGGACACAACCCCCCCCCCCCCCTCCCTCCAATAAATTTACCTGATGTTTTCTTTTTCTTTCTTTTTTTAATTTTCGTTCTTGTTTCTTCTTTTTTTTCTCTTTCTGTTTTGACCATGGTACAGATTGTTCCTGTGATGTGAAACAAAATTATGTCCTGAGGAAAGAATGTCACAGTAAACTAAATTTTCCCCAAAAATTTTATATATTTTTGAAATTTTAAACTAAATGGACGTAATTCCCCAATTTCCATAGGTCTTGTCAATTTGAAGAAAGACATTTTTTTTTGTATATTTTTTTCTGTGCCAGGCACCATTTCAATACATGGAAGGCACTGCTGCGTGTGCACCAGTCTCAAAACGTAAAACTTCTAAGCCATTTGCGTCACAGGTGAATTCTTTGAGATGATCACAGCATTTTGTGAAAACTCAGCTTTAGTTTGCTGAAAAAACATACCATCATTTTCCGTTTGTTTTCTCTCTGTTTTTCA